CTTCCTTTCGTGGCTATAAGCGGAGCGATCGGATTTTATGTGCACGCGTCTAACATCGGCGCTACTGCCCGCGAGAGAAAGAGAAAAGACGAGAAACGAGTAGAGAGAAAGAGCCACGGTGTTGTAAAGTATGGCGGTGTATCGCGAAATGGGTAAGGGAGGGGGAGGGGGGGGCAGCCACGGGCACGATTTACGTTTGCGAGTTTCGAAACCGCACAATCCGCGGTACCTAACATGCCTAATTCATCTTCCTCTTCTTCCTCCCCCCTCCCCGTCTCCTCAACCCGCCTTCCCTCGGGCCCCACGGTGCCCAGAGTCCGCGTCTACCGCGTCGGTTTTTTAAACGAAGTGTCAAGGTAATGACTAAGACCCGTGTCCTCTCTTGGCGCAGATTTATCGTCGTGAACGCGACCGTCTCGCGAGAGACCGTGTCACCTTCAGCGCGGCCACGTTTGCTGCGCTCTAATTGTGAGAGTCTCTGGAAACTCGAGAAACCGCGGGGCATCTAATCTCGAACTTTACAAAAGCTCTTGAACGCCCCGAGGTTGCGTCAGGATCGTTAACAAGCGTCCGTTATCGGACAGCAATTTCCAGCGGACTGGTCTCGGCGCTCGTCGGCTGAGGGCTTTCGAAACCGGCTCTCTCCTCCCGATGCCGCGTCGCGATGCGAACAACGTGCCCGTTTTTCATCCCCAATCCGCGAAGTCCGGCGACGTCGTCGTGCGGAAGCCTTTCCAGAGACTGCGACGACGACGACGACTATAACGACAATGTTTCTGCGCCATTCGTCCGTCCGCTCCGCTCGCGACGCTTCTTAATTACCTAATGTCGTGACCGGCGTTACATAACAACGACGAGCGACTGGCGAGGGTTTCAACGAGACACGATAATTCCCCCATCCTCTCTGCCATATCCCGCATCGGTGTATAAATATCTATCGGCCTGCGTTGAAGTTTAACCCCAGCGGCAGTCGTGCCCCGAGCCGTGACGGGGTAATGGTCTCCAAGGGGGGAACTCGGGAATTATGTTTGCGCGCGCGTGTTCAAGTAATCTCTTGTCAGATTTATTATTCGACCGAAAATATGAAAATGCAAATCGCTGGCGTAATAAGAAGAAATTATGATGGGCTAAAAATCATCTTTCGAATATGAAATTCTTGATAATGTCCACAAAAAAGTTTTTTTAATTGAAATTATTAAGCCGGAAAACTCGCGCGTTTTAGATAAAATCGGAAAAAACTGGATATCTCCCCCGTAATTATAAAATCTTCAACGATTATCGGACGGGCGACAAAAAATATTTTGCGGTAAAGTCGATGACTCTCTCGGACACCCTGTATGCGAGACCAGCCTGTGTCCCGAAGGGAGACGAGGGTCGCAATAACTCCGCCGGCTATCGGCCGGTTGTGGCCGCGTAAAAAAATCGTTCCTGGACTTCCTCAAATATCGGCAATATTGAAAAATAGTGCGGTCGAAACGACCGGTCCCGGAAATTGCTCGGCGAAACATCTATACGGCGATCGCGGATATTTTCTGGGAAAACGATCGAACTTTCCCGCGTAGCGGTACGAATTGTCCACGGAAAGAGATGGATCTTCCGAGAAAAGAGAAGAACTCGTCATAACCATCTTGACGAGGGAGTTGGTAACTCCGTGAGTTTTGCAACGATCGTCGAAAATTCTACGTCGCTCCTCTATATTTTTCCGACCTTGATTCCTTAACAATGGATTCCCCCGTCTAATGAGAGAACCAATGTTGCTTCAACGAGGATGCCGATTAAAGTCGATACCCGAGCGGGGGGTTAATAAATGCCGATTAACATTACATCATTAAGATACCGCGTTCATTTCGGAAGTATTAACGACGATAATGCATCACGCTTCGTTAGTCTTAAGCACTGCATTAGATGTATATACGTATAATTACGAAATAACTCCTTCCGTCATCCGCGCGCGCTCGGCATCGGCTACGGTTGCCGGACACCCTGTATATATCCCGCCGCCTGCTTCCCTCACATCCCGTCAATAATTCGTGCGATAGATAAAACCGAGCCCGCGCGCGTTCCCCCGGAAATTCCGCGCCGCCGCCGAGGCAAATTTTTTCTTCCGTGCAGCTTCGATGCGCGCGAAGGTAAAGGCGCCGATCTGGACGACCGGCAAAAATTGGCCAACATCAGCGGAATGCGATGTCGCCTATAATCAAGGACAGAAGGCCACGAAACGCATCGAGCGTGTCGAAATGAAAAAATTTCGGTATTGGTAGAAATTTTCTCAGTGCTATATAGTAATCTGTCTTTTAGATCTTAAAAATTCTTTACGGGAGGACATAACTAATGACTGGAGGATAAAGATTAGGTTGTAGAAGGAAAGTGCCGTTTTGAATACTCTTTGGAGAATGGCACTAAATGCAACAAAAGGCTAGCAGAGAAACGTATCCTAATCCGTTGTAAATCATTGCCGTTATTGTTGCGAGATATTTTCGAATATCGTACATATTGTAACTCTCTATTTTATTTTCAAAATTTTTTTGCGATATTTTTCGATTCTTTTACCATTTTTTTTCGAAACTGTATTTTGAAACGTTTTTCCTGCTCCGGGCATTTGAAATAACAATCGGAAATAAACGCTGTGTGTTCGATCAATAAGAATTTGCACGGCGCGACATGGAGAGAGAAGCGTCAATTTTCCTAGGCTTTTCCTCGGCTTCCTCCCTCCCCCCCACATTATTTCCCTCGCGCACGGCACTGCCGATCGCGAAATTCCCCGCCTTTGTGTCCGCCAAAATGCCCCGTCGATCCTCTTTCGGGATCCGCCGCCGCCGCGGCGCACATTTTTCACGGACGAGGGCCGACCCGGCACGAGGGAAATTACGGACGCGGTTAAATCCGACGGCCCTTTCTGCGAAACGCGCGAGTGCTAATGACTTTTTGAAATATATGCCCGAGGCGATTAAATAAACGCGCTTTTCGCCCGAGGAGCTGCGGCGCGTACGACGTTTTTCCGAGAACTATTATAGATTGTTAATCACGAAGTGAAAACGTGCTGCCACATATTATACCTTAACGACCGTTAGCTTCACGAAAAATTCAATGTATTCAGATTCTCAATGTATTCTACAACTTTCAAGATACGACAAAGTAAATCGTATAAAATATCCTGTGGCCGACAGATCGTAATTTCATATATGCTGTCTCGAAAAATTTTATTAATGTCAATGCGAGCTTCAAACGAAATATCACGATGCGTTGCCGTGACTGAGATTTTCGCAAGACGCCAGTTCGCAATCTTTCATTTGTTCAGCAATCTTGGATTTAATACGAATATCTCGTTCGTACACGACTGTATCTTATCAAGTACAATATCGTTCGCGAGAGCGGCGCTTGTAATTTTCGCGGGAGATGAGATAACGAGATATTTCGTCAAAATGTTGGTTGGAAAATTCGAGCCTCACTCGAAGAGGGGGAGTGCCGGAGGAAGGGCCTCGCGGTAACCGATCTCTGACTGCGTCCCTTTGCCCCAGGATGGGCCGTCCCCCGGTCGGTCCCGGCGCTCTCTCGGCCGCGGTTCGCTCGGTGCGGCACGGTGCGGTCGTGCGGTCACGTTGATCGATCGTTACCGTGTAACGAACGAAATACGGTCCCCCTCCCCTCCCCCCCTACCCGTCTGCGTCCGTTTCTCCTTGAGCGCGCGCTTTGAAAAGGGCGGACCCGGGACAAAAAAGACGAAACCCGAGCCGGCTCGGACGTCGTTCGGGTTTCTAGAGATACGCCACGCCGAGAACACGGGATGAGAAGAGAGAGAGAGAGAGAGAGAGAGAGAGAGAGAGAGAGAGAGAGAGAGAGGGGAGAGAGAGAGAGAGAGAGAGAGGAAAGAAACAGAGAAGGCTCGCAGCGATGCGAGGGACAGTGAGGGAAAAAAGGGGGCGGGCAGCGAGAGAGATATATAGAATGACCACGATGACTATGACGCGGTGCGGCGCGGCGCGGTCGCCGTTTCCATTTCCTGTACGCGACCGCGACGCGAGTGAGTTGTGAAAAAATAGGGGGGCTGGGATGTGGAAAGGGTTGCGGAAAGAGGCGGCACTGCGCGGGGTGGGTGGGGAGCCGAGTGCCAGAATTTAGCAAATTCATCAACGTCGGTCTGTATTATGTTCGTTAATTTCCTACAACTGGTAGGTTTTTACTCATAACGAGCTTGCGTACCGCTCGCGCTTCGTAGAGAGGACCGTATGCGCGCATATGCGTGTGTACATACGTGTGTGCGCCGTGCTGTGCGTGTGCACGTGAGGATGCACGGTCGATGGTTACGTCACTGGGTGAGGGCGGACGGGGTCTGCAGGAAACAGGAGCTCAAGACCTGACCTCCGCAGATTCAAAGGCCCGTATTCATATCGTGTGCGTTTAGCGACAGATGTGAGATACGGTCGGGGCGGGAGGGGTTCGAAGTTAATTCCCCGCTCGTAATTAAAGCACACCGCGAGAACCTTTTTTTCAGGCTCGTCGATGACGTTATTCTGGTATATGTATTCTGTCTGTATGAATAAAACGAATCAAATCGTTCCGCTTTTACTTATCGAAGCGTGCCACGAAGAACACGGGTAAAAATTATTCGCCTATGCCTCGTGAAATGGGAACGTTCGACTCTGCATAAATGAAAGATTTTGAAAAGGGATCGTGAAAAAAAATTTGAATCGTAAAACATACGGATTGTACAATTTCACGCACGCTGCGTGGCTGGGGTGATTGATGCTTATCTTGATAAGCGATAACGTTTACGGGCGAATATCTAAAAAATGTGAGCAACAAACGCGACGTACGAAAGATGCAGCGTTACGAGACGCAGGGTATGCCTCTGCCTCGTGCTTTTATTTTGAGATCGGGAAACGTGCGCGCTTCTGCAATATTTTCTTCCACACGCACATACTTTGATTCGTATCAGCGATATCACAAGCGTTTATACTTAGATCTTTTTGCGTTGAATAAAACAATCGGCGGTCTCGATCTTTATGTGCAACAAAAAAGAAACTAAATTTTTATTCATCCGGCGGTTCATCGCTTACACAAATTTTATCGCCATGAAGATCAAACTAAAGTAGCGTAATTTCTTGTATACTTAAACGTCTAGACCGTGCCGGCTGAACCCTACTATTGACCTTTCTCCGTAGGCTATTCTCGTAGATCAGTGAGCCTCTTTGTCCGACGGAAAAAAAGCGTCGGGACGCGGGAGAGATTCGACGTTCACTGTTAAGATGATTGTCGGTCACGTGTTAAGTCTTTTAGCGAGCGGCCGCCTTATAGGAGTACGGGTAGGTTTTCGAACATTCGACGGTCTTCACGCTGGAAACCTGTTAAACGAGGGGCAAACAATAGTGACTCGCTAGAATATAATCTGCCGCTTTATAAATAATCCAGGGCACGAATGTACAAGTTGAAAATGCCAATTTCAATGCTCCGTTCTGCCGTCACGAATCGAAAGATGAATCACCTGGTCGTAATGAAAGGACAGGCGGTCGTCAGACCGCCCGCTGCCGACCCCCACGTGCGTCAGTCACGAAACTCTCGAAGGACGAAATTGTGCTTGCGGCTCCGTAGGAATCCAATCTTCCAGCGATTTCTCCAAAAATTAATTATTTTCTACGTCCTAAATGAAGATACTTAATCGAAAATGTCTTGCCGGGCACAATTTGATTTAGGTTCTTTAATCTCGATGTCTTTTGAATTTGCAATGAGAGAAGCTTAAAAACTGCTCGAATATCGCGATCAAACTTTAATAACTTTTTGAATCGCGTTAAACTCAATGATTTCGCCATTATTTCCACGCTAACCTCGTCGACGTCGAGTTTGACGTTCGGCACGGATCTTCCGGAGCTTCCGCTTCCGTGCGACACGCCCGGCCGGTTTCTCGAATAATTAATAGACGGACGTGAGTAACGAGCTTTTAATTGCTGCTTTAAGCACCGCGGGACGAGTATCTCGATCTCGGACAAACACCGCTTTTTTTGCGCGTCGCCGTAGCTCCTCGTCATTAATTGCGCCGCGACAATTTTGTCCTCCCTTGAGCGCCGCGCTCTTCTCCGAAAGGGGAATCATAATCCTGCAGCTTCTTTTTCCTCCACCCCACCTGATCCGGAGCTGAACGACCATCGAGCGTCAATTATCAGTCTTACATGTAATGATCGATACCGACGAGTTTTCCACGGATAATCGACACGGAGTATCGAAGCTTTAATTTTCACGGCGGATCGTCCCGGCTAATCCGCAGTAAAACTGACGTTTTCGCAACTAACTCCCGATATTCCCGAATTTCCTACGATAAATGACCCTCACCCTCGACTCGCCATGTTACACATCAGGACTCGGTCCTGCCGAGGGTTAAACCTCGGATTATATCTTTCCCGCGGGAGAAGAGGGATAATTCCAGAACTCGGATAATTAACCCTAGCGCGCCGCCAACAAAGGGGCTGCGAAATTCTCGGGCATACTATTTGTATGCTCTCCCGATGAACTGCTTTATAACTTTATAACTTACATATATAAATTTATGATTCTCCAAATGTATTCTAATGGGTAAACTTATGGTGTACGTGTAACATCCGTTATATATACGTTTAGTGTCAGAATAAAAAAATATATACATATTTCTAACAATCGCGCGTGATAAATCGTCGTACGAAATCGGGAAGACGAGAAATCGTGAAAAGGGGCGCGTTTTCTATAGGGAGACGAGAGATCCCGGTCGGCCGGAAACGACCGGTCGCTATCACGGCAGGCGAATGTCGTTGGCAAAACGTACAACGATGCTTATCATTCGGCGTCGATCGCGTCACCGCGGCATCGATTTTCGCTCTCACGGCGTCGCGTCTGGTCGCATCGCGGCCGTTCGGCTGGAAACGCTGAATAATGGAGGCGAGGAGTTCGAAAGAGATCTCGGGAGAGAGAATTCCGGCAAGAGAAGTGCCGCGGGACCTAAATAAACGACCTGATTTTATACCTGGACTTGAGATCCGTCGCAGATGGGCCGAAAAGTCATTATCCCGGACGATGAATCATAGCACTAATAAATCTACCAAGCAAAGGTAAACGATCGGAACGGTTCCGAAGTTGAGTTACGAAATCGGATGCTCTATTATTACAATCATATTCACCGTAGCTCTTTATTGTCCTTATCATTATCCTCTAAATCTCAGATTTATCCGAAATTTCTCGGACGAAAAATATCCGAGTTTGATATTCTAAATCCCGTAGAGAGCTCTCGCGTTTTTTTTTATAGCGAAATTTAATTTAAAGCGATCTGTCAAGCTAAGCAATTCTGTTCATTAAAATAGATTTGCATTCAATAAGCTTACGCACAATTAAATACTCTCTTTCCGGAGAATTCGGGTGAAATCAAAATAGAAAGTCATTGTCATTTACGAAAGGATTTCTCTCACGCTCAAGAGAGACAGGTGCAAAGAGTACATTCCTCGATCTCCCGTATTTCCAGCTGGTCTTCTATAGTATCTGCGGTCGAACGTCGACATCCGACTCTCCTTCCAAACACCCCATATACGCGAACTTAAGAAAATCTGTGGCTTCGCGGAACTATAACGTGCACTAAGATCTGCGGCTTTGGGGGATACGCGTAACCGAGGATCCGTGGGATCAAAGATCTAATGTATCTCGCTTCTTTCCAGAAGATAAGAGCAGTTTCGTAATTCCCCCTCCCCCTCCCCCCTCGCTGCGTGTTGTCTGGAGAGTAGAATAAATTTATCCGTATGCGCGAAGGGCTCTCGACGAGCGGCACCGAGGACCAGGAATTCGTGGACTCCTCGAATCCGATAGAACCGCGAATCCACGGCGGCGCGTCGAGAACCGTGAAATCGGAGAGCCCCGAAACCGAGCGTACTGTCCATCCTTCAAGAATACCCCGGCCAAGTCCACTATCCTTCCAAAGGATACTGAATAATGGAGGAGCGAGCGAGCGAGCGAGGCGAGGAGGGCGGAAAGACGGAGGGAGAGGGGAGACGACGTCTCACGAGTTCTCGAGAGGGGCCGGCGTTCGTAAGCGAAAGGGGGCCCCCGAAAACGCCGGCCACGAAACGTAGTGGATGCTAATGCGGCCCTAAGCAAACGGGGGATTTCTTTTTTCTACCTGAAGTCGCGCTCATTGCAGGTGGATGAAACGCACGCCTGACGTGTGTGTACGCGAGCGACGACCATTTCAACTGATGTCCCTCTTCCCGCCTACCCTGCGCCCGTCCATCCTATCCGTCAGGCCGCCCCGTGTATGTGATACGTTATGCTGGTACATGTGCACGCTAATGTGCATGTATGCATGTATGTGTGTATGTACATATACGTATGCGTGCGTGCATGCGTGCGTGCATGTGTGCACACGACGTGTGTTTATTCGGTGCCCGTCCGTCCGGCCACCCGCTCACCGTCAACAACGAACACGGCACGTACGATCGTTGTGTCGGCGACGGCGGTTATACAGGGTGTCTCCGCAGCAACCCGAGACTGCCTCGTATCGCGCGGTTGCGTATGTATGTACGTGTGTCTGAAAGAGCAAAGTGGAAGAAAAGAGCGCGGCGAGACACGGTGAAGAAAAACAGTCTCACCCTCGTCCTCGAGTCGGCTCTTTCTTCTTTTCTCTCTTTCTTTCGAGCGGTTGAAGTTTAGGGATGACTTTGGTGAAATCGGACTTTGGCAAATACATTACGAAGCACGTTTAATTTAATCTCAAGTAGAGGCTCGGAAGAAGTTCGGAAGATTCCGATTTAACGAGATGTTAAACTCTCGAAACTTTGATCTACGTCTAAAATCAACCGCCTGAGAAAAATTATGTTCGATAAAATTCTTTTCGAGGGGGAAATCCAGAATCGCGAATGATAAACGATACGGAAGGCTATGCAGGTTTAAAAATGTCCTCCGATTCCATCTATCTGACTCCTTTAATGTCGCTTAATGCTTAAGTTAACTAAATGTTTTCTCGTTCGAGCTCAACGTTAATCGATCGTGCAGGCAAATGAGGCTCGATACGAATCTCTTTCGTCGGGGTACACCCCATGCATTAAAGACTCATTTTCTTTTCAGATAAGAGTCATCAAATATAATACGCAAAAAGATGGAGTCGGTGATTCAAGCTCGACGTTAACCGATAGCGTGCAAATGTAAGTATTAATGTGAAGCGAAGCGATAACGGCGGCCTTTCGCCGTGCTTTCGGGACACCCCATGTGTGCGCGCGGGGAGACAGATGTACCCTATGCCGACTATGCGCGCTATAGACCCACCCGCATGCACTTTTAACGATCGAGATGATAAGTCGCGCAGAACAGAGCGAGAGAGCAGGCACGGGTTCTCTCTTTCTATCTCTCTTTCTCTCTATCCTTCTCCCTCCGGATTAAGGTGGCTCCACATCGAGGCGAAGCCCGGATCATAATCCGATATAGCCGCGCGTCTCGGCGAAGGAGGCGTCCGCCATTTAGGTCGTTGTCGTTGTCGCGAATGCGCCTGCGAATTTTCGTTTTCGCCAATCCGTTCGCGAGGAAGAAGCGAGGCGGTTAGAAAGCGGCCCGGGGCGTCTACGCCGTGTCTACATGCAGAACGTCTGGACTGTCGTCTGGTGTTAATGCCTTCGGCAGACGGAACGTCAAAAGAAAACAGTCGCTTGTAAAAATGATTGCTAAATGATGTATATCGACGGTATCTGTTTATCTACATCAAAGTCTGCGATCGCTCGGGTCGAAAAAGGGGGACTGAGGGAAATTACTTCATAGATTATCAACGGTGCGCGAAAGGACTTCTTGTGTACCCAAGTCTTTAGCGTCCATTCGAATTTAACCGGGGAGGAGGGGACTGTTATATCGTATCTTATTTTCTGTCAGAAAGGCCTGATCTTCTCTTTTCGCTGTTCTATAACGTAACGCTGCTCGTATTTACAATCGCATAAAGACCTCGCGCACTTTCTCCGCGTACTGCCGCGTTTACGCGAATCTCTCTCTTTTCGCGTCTATAATCTCTCTCTCCCTATATATATATATAAACTATATAAATTACACATATCCACAAACAAAAGTTAAAACAGTAACGTTCGTTGATTGCAATGTATCAATCGAACTTCCTCAATGCCTACGAGAAAATATAGTACTGTAATATGGTCGGTACTGCGAGACAACTATAAATTATCGCGCGACTATAAAGTATAGGTTTCCTTAAACACAATGTCGGGGGGAAAAAAAAGAGAAGGGAAGGAGGACAGAGCACAGCCATAATAAGTGTCGCCTCTACCGACTATGCATCGTCTACGTAAATTACGCGTAAAATGATAGTCTGTACATAATCTACACGTCAGGGATGTTCGGCGTAAACAACAATCGACAACGGGGATTTCGCGTTAAATTTGATCGCGCTGGATAAGTTCCTGTTGTTCGTGACGCTGTTATGAATTGCGCTTTACACAAGCGAACGCGTATATCGAGACATCAAGAAAAAAACCTCTCAAAAATTCGTCGCGTCTTCTTAATTCTTAGCTGACGCGGACAGCCCTCGAAGATCGCGTCTCGACTTAGCTTTCTCTCTCATTCAGCTCTCTCGATTTTCGTCGAGTGGCTGATTATATAAAGAATGGGCAAAGAAGACGAGATCACTGCCGATCTAGATTCGACATACGCTCGTTGAATTCGCAATAGCTCGACCGCGTTGCCGTTGTTGTTCACGCGTAGACATCCAACGTCGCGAAACCGCCCGGACATTCGGCTGTCGTCTAACTTTGGGGCAGGAGGGCATGATAACTCGGCGTCTCGTAGAAGCCAGCGGCGGCCTGGAGTGCGTGCAGGGAGGTCGCGTGATGCCTGTGTATCGTGCTCGCGTATACGCTGGAGACGCCGGCCGTGGCGGAAACGCCATTGGAAGCACCGAAGATGGATGAGGATGAGGAGGACGAGGAAGAGGAGACCTGCTGACCGATATGCGAGGCCGTTCGCGACAGCAACGTCACCGACGGTCGCCTGTAGGGATGATGGGCGACCGCCGAGATCGCCGATGTGCCGGCGCGAAGATGGCTGCCCGAGCCCGAGCTCGTGGCTGCGATATTGCTGTACGCCTGCTGATAAGTCTGCCGTAGAATACCGGAGATTGACGCGGACGTCGGAGACGTAACCGACGACGAAGAGGAGGAACTTCGATCGCTTTGGTGAGGTTGATGATGGAGCTGATGAGTAGTAGTGGTACGATGTTGCTGCTGCTGTTGCTGCTGCTGCTGCTGCTGGCGGTGTTGATGATTGTGGGCGCGCATGGCGCGGAAGTAATGTTGATAAATACCTGATATGACTGCCTTCTCGTCGGCGGAGATGAGGTTGGCGGTACCGGATGCCGTTGGTGTTACGGGTCGTTGTTGAGGTTGCTGCTGGGTGTGATGCTGCTGCTGCTGCTGCTGTTGTTGGTGCTGATGAGGAGCATGAGTATGATTCCTGTGATGATGGTGATGATGATGATGAGCCGATGGTTGCTGTTGCTGCTGCTGTTGGGAATGGTGCCGTCGCTGAGACTGCTGCTGCTGCTGCTGTTGCTGAGACAACGTGACCGCTGCAACATTGAGTGCCGTGCGATACGAGGTGACAGCGGACATCTGACCGCTCGTGGATATGAGGCCGCTACCAGAATCCGCGGCAGCTACCACCGCCGCGGCGACTGAGGACGATGCAATGGACGTCGCCGGCGACACGACGGAAGCTGATACGACGTTGGAGGAAACGACGATGTTGTTCGACGGCGGTACGACCGTCGTTGTCGTCGAGGAAGTCGCCGCGACCGCGATTGCCGCGGTGGCGACCGTCACGGCGGCGATGCCGGCGGACGCGGATGCCGTCACCGCGCTCCTGCGACCGTTCCTGCGGGAGGCGGACATAGGCGTCGTCGTCGGCGCCGCCGGGGGCGGCAAATTATTGACGAAGGGACTCCTCCTCTCGCGCTCGGCGCGTCGATAGTAGCACGGATGGATCATTAGGAGGGGCTCGCCGCCACCGGGCGGTGGCTTCGCCTGGCTCGGTAGCTCGTACTCGACGCTGCAGTCCACGTGGAGCGGTTGCGAGTAGTCCTTGTATTCTTGCACCTTGTAGCTGTTGATCGCCACGGCGGCAGCCGCGGCGGTGGCAGTGGCCGCGGCAGCGGCGGCCGCAGCCGCCGCCGCGGTAGCTGCGGCGCTCGTCGTCACCGAGTTGGCGTTGACGGCATTGACATTGGCAGCGTTCACCGATGACGACGGGTTGCTGGAAGCGGAAGCGGCAGCGGCGGCCGCGGCGGTGACGACGGAAGCGTCGTCGAGGCCGGTGGACGTCGCCGGCAGGACTGTCTGCCCGGTCACACCGCCGACGGACGACGCGACGACTTCGTTACCGTGATGATGGTGATGATGATGGTGGTGGTGATGGTGGTGATGGTGGTGTCCGTGTCCGTGGTGAATGGCGGCACCTACCACCACTTCCTTCTCGTAGCAGGCGGCGGCCATGTTGTCGGGTGCCTCCTCCTCCTACTATCCGGGCTTCCGCCGGCGCGCCGCCGTCCCTTCTCGCACGCCCGACGCTGACGACCCACGATGACCCACGGTGTCGAACGCTAGGCCCTCATGACGCGGGACTCTCGCGATGATTTTCGCCGACGACGGTGATCCGCTGCTCCCCGTCGTCTCGGACAACGTTTCGATGCCGCCCTCCGTCGCCAAAGCGCGCGCCGCGAGGAAGAGGCCGGCGCGTTGAGATCGGCGCTACCTCGCGACTACCGCGAGGTACGTGCGAGATATGTACGAGGTGCTCGTCCTTGCCGTTGACAACGACGACGATGACGACGACGATGACGATGACGATGACGATGACGGGGACGAACTTGCCCGGGGTGGTCAGTGACGACCACGACGATACTCCCCGACTAGACTCTCGTACTCTCGAGCGAATCGGAGTAGAAGGATATAGCTCATCGCCGCGGTAGCCTTAGCCAAGGGTTGGACCAAAAGGATATATCCAACACCGAGGGAAAGCACCCGAGAGAAGCCCAGCGCGTGCGGCAAAGCGTATTATACTATCGCATGTTTCTTTTTCTTTTATTTCGGACAAAAAGCTCGTTCTAGTGTGCCAATTACGTACGGGGTCCCCTATTATTCCCCGGCGTTTAATGCTCGCTCGTTCAGGACGGTCGGTCTTCTCTCGTCACCGCTCGCTGTCAGGACCACCCGTTCTGCAGCCCTCTTCCTTTCTCCCCTACCTTCTCTCTTTATCTCTCTCTCTCTCTCTCTCTCTTCCTTCTCTTTTCTTCCTTCTTCCCGACTCTCTCTTTCTTTCTCTTTCAACGCTCTATATCACTCCTTTCTTCGTCCACCACACTGACCGGTGTCTCCTTCGTCCCTCCTCCACCGCGGCCACCTCTCACGCGTGCTTTTCACTTCACTGTCACGAGTCGCTTGAGGGTCCGGGTCGCGCAACCCGGTCGCCGGCGATGCTCGCCGGTCCCGCTCGCGGAATCAGCACCCCGCGCCGCGTGTCAACTTCTCGCGCGAGGCGGACCCGTGGAAACCCCGTCGCGTGAACCAGCGCTGGAGTATCGTCGGGGTGTCGTCGGGCCCGTGCCGACGTCCGACTGACTGACTGGGCGTAGTAGCGCGTTCGGTTCGGCTCCAGTCGCGTCGGTGTGTGTGCGCCGTCGCCGTCTATATCGCGCGACGCATGGGTCCCCCGATTCGTTCCGCCTCCTCGGATCGCGTCCCTTCCTCGTTGCTCTCCTTCTCTCTCTCTCTCTCTCACTCTCTCTCTGTCACGCTCACGTGCACCTTTACCGTACGTACGAAAACCACGATGATTTTTCCACCCCCGCGTGTACGACGATTCGTCTCGCTCGACTGGACGTGCGAAGCACGTCCTACACACCGTAGCGTCCGTGCGGCCTGCGTGCGAGCGCGTGATATACGTGCGTGCGTGCGTGCGTGCGTTTATGTGATTTTTTTTTAAATATATATAGATGTGTGTGTGTACGTATGTGTGAGCGTGTGTATGTGCGTGTTGTGCGCGCGTAGCGCAACGCAGGCAGGTGAACGCGGCTCGATCGTCGCGCACTGACAGCCGAGCTGCGACTGAGAGCCGTGTTCCTGGGGGACCCTCGACGGGCTCCCCTCCCGACGGACGGGCGATTCGCCGGCACTCACGCGTGGTCGATCGTGAAGCGGCGGGCTAATGCCGGGTTTACACGCTCCGAAAGCAACGGGAGTGCGAAACGTCCAATTTTTTACGATTTACAGGCTGCTGCGGCAGCATTCATTCATTCATACATTTCGAAACACTCGAAATAAATTCCATTCGTACATATTTATGCTCAGAAATTTAAACTTTTATGTGATTTAAATTGACGAATCGAAAATACTCGAGTCTCTCTTTCTCTCTCATGGTACAATATTTTTTATTTACTTTTCTGAATGCGCTTGTCACTCCAATACGCATTGCGGCGTGTATATTGTGTTTGGAGTAATTGTCGGAGTAATATTGTTTAAATGGAACCGCGGCATTAAAAGGCAAATTTAAAACCCCTTATAAGTCGCACCGCGTGCGCTTCGCGTACACATTTTTTACACTCGGAGTGAAGTGATTTCCGTGGTTCGGTGAAGAGGGTAGAAGAAAAGAGATCCTCCGCGAAAGAGAAAGTTCGAAAACAAAAAGGAAATTTAAAGGGACGAATTTTTATTCTTGGGGAAAAACGCGCTGTCGCCGAGCTATCGCACGTTTGGCAGTACTGCACCCGGCGACCCCGGCGCTGCTGTCAGTGCCGCTCATCGCTGTGTGAGACAGTGCGAGAGTGTGAGAGGGCACGGCACGTGAGGGTACACGGATCAGACGCCGTGCATTGTGCAAGTGCATCGCGTGTAAGTACCGTCTAGGTTTCTGTGATGTCTACCCCTCGGTGCGCGAGGTCGATATGAGCGACGACCCGGCGCTTCATCGTAAGATGTATTACTTAGACGTTTCTCTGTTAGTACATTCACTATTTCATCATGTAGACGGGTAGTGTCCGCGGGGACATAACCTATACGCGCGCGCGCCTCTCTCGAACTCTAATTCTATTGCCGAGCGAGCGCGATGAGCCGTCGACGCGATTCGAGAACCGAGAGACTCGAGAGCATGCTGAGAAAACTCCCAACTGGGCGCTGTACAAACTATACGCTTGTCTATTTCTATTTGTAGAGAAATTCCATCCGATCCCGATCTCACCGCGGTGTCGCCTGTGTATCTTAAGAAGAACATCTTGGAAGCCGTTCGGTCGCTGTTCGGCGAGGAGGGAGCCAAGAGTCCCGTGGACGTTCTAAAGATCTGTCCTACAAAGCGCAGATTCGTCCTGCGCTGTCCGGCCGACAGCTACGTCCGGCTGCGAGCGAGCCTGACTCTGAGTACAACGTACGAGCGGAAGGCGTGCGTGTACACCGTTCACCGGGCGTCGCCGAATCTGCTGTCGTTCACCGCCGACAGTAGGACGTTTCAGCACGGAGAGAGGTGCCTTGATTCTTCACCATCATGCCACTGATACGTAAGGAGGGCAAGGACACCATTATCTTTGCGTCCAAGGAGGAGCACGCGGTACCCAGCAAAATCAGTCTGCCCGAGTCGGAGCCCAGCCCCGGGCTGTTGTTGCCCAACGGCGAGATCAATTGGAACTGCCCGTGTCTCGGTGGCATGGCGACCGGGCCGTGCGGTTTGGAATTCCGCGAGGCCTTCTCCTGCTTCCACTACTCCACCGCGGACCCGAAGGGCTCGGACTGCCGCACGGCATTCGAGACGATGCAGAGCTGCATGTCGCAGTACCCGGCGCTGTACGAGAGCAAGGGCATGTCGACGGACGACCTGGAGGACGAGGACATCGGGATAGAGGAGGAGGAAGAGGAGAAGAAACAGCCGTCCACGGGCAGCGGGGACAAGACGAAGGCGGTGGTAGCTAGTAAAGGCGCGGCGGATTAGCGATAGTCGCCTCTCTCTTGTCGTACCTTAATTACTTTAAGTAAATTAATTTTACCTGTTGCACTGTATAGTTCAAAATAAATTTTTAGAAAGAACTATTTGCAATTAAAGTTACAGATTGATCGCTACTAAGCGTGCGAACAAACTTGGAGCAGGTAAAATTGCGGCTCAAAATAACCCAAGGGACATTTGCCGAAGGAAAACTTCAGTACTTAAGAATTAATAATTTAAATCCAATTATTCTATATAATCTATATCTATTTGCGAACTAGCGTAAGTCGAAAATAAGTTTACCAGTTTTTGCCTGGAAAGAAAAACTCTATTTCTTCGTATTCATGTTACAACTTTTACGCTTTATTCCTTTCTTCCTCTTCTTTGTAAGACACGAATACACATATATATATATATATTTCAGCCTAAACATAGAACAATGCAAGGAAGTGCGAGGCTAGGCATGCGTTCCGTTTGACGCACGATGCGCATGATCTGTCATTTTAGCCTTGTTTGACATTCAGTGAACACAAGGATAAAATGATATATCATGCACATCGTGCGTCGAACGGACACGCTCGCGGCCACCAGTTGTGCCACCTTCCTCCGGTTCAAATCTGCCGCGCGCTGTCTAGGTCGTTCGCTACTTCGTTCGCGCGTCGCCGGATGGCGGAGTCTGGCCGCGTGATGACGTCGGGCCCGCGCTCCTTCCACCCCTCCCCGCGGGCTCGTCATTCCGCTCGTGTATGTGGCCGCGATACCATCGTCGCGGATCGTCGGGCGCGACGCGATAATAAAAACACAGTGCCGCCGTTCGCCAGCAGTGGCCAGCAACGTCACCGTTTGTCGCCGTCGTCGTCGTCGTCGCCGTTTGACGCAAACGCGCCATGAGCCCGCGACCCGTGCGCCCGTCGAAACGCGTCGCTGTCCGTCGTCCCTCGGTCATCGCCGCGGCGCAGCGCGACGTCGAGCAGTGACACGGCACGCGCGTCGCGTGCGCGCATCGATCAACGGATACCGACGCCGAGACAGATCGACGGTGCGACGAGGACAGACGGACGGATAAGTCGGCAGTGAGCAAAGTGCGGCGAGAGCCGAAGTTTTCCCAAGTCAAGTCGGAGACCGGTTAGAAGAGATCGGAGCTCGTTCACGCGCGCGCGCGCGCGCACGGTGTGCCCCGGATACGTTCCTTGGCAGTGACCGAGAGTGTGTCCTGGTTTTCGTGCGCCGCTACCGCTGGTGAAGAAAAGCCCGTCGCGATTCGTCTTCCCTTGGTCCCTCCGTTAACGTCTCTTCATCATGGACACCCACAAGAAGGAGAAGAAGCACAAGGAGAAAAGGAGGTGAGACGCTCGCTCGTATGCGCGCGCGCGCGCACAGGAGAGAAAGAGAGAGAAACACAAGTTAGAGATTGCGAGAGAGAGAGAAAGAGTGTGTGTGTGTGTGTGTGAGTGCATGAAAGTTGCGTCTGGTCGCATCTTTATTTTCGGAACGACCGTATGGGATTCGGGGTGACGCGAATCCTCACTCGAGGTTGTCGTGTCGCGCTCGAGCGTCCAACGGACGCCGACGTGACAGTAAAGCTTGTAATTCATAAATTCGACCGGGTTGGAAAAAATGAAGAAAACAGGAAAAAGAGAGAGACAGAGAGAAAGGAGAAAAGCGTGTCTGTATGTGTGGCTTGACGCAATCGTCTCGCTTCTTTGATATACAGAACCGTCGTTCTGTCTCTTTCTCCAATTGCATCGCTTCATCTTGCTCGCACTTCCCCGCGACGCTTATCTCCGTCTCTCTCTGACGCCACGTGATCCCTGTCATCCGTCTTTGTCGCTCTCGGTGATTCTTTATCGGACCTGTCGCTTTCTCATTCTCTCTCTCTCTTCCTCTCTTTTTCTCTCTTTCTCTCCTTCCCCTAATGTTTAAAGTCTTTTAAATCAAACGAAAAAATTTTAAACAAGTGTCAATAAGATGCTCCGGACGCTTCGCCTTCCTCTTTTATCGTCCGATCTGTCTTGTTTTGATCAGTCTTTAAGTTATTTACGATATCGCACAGTTTTGCTCCAGTTTTGTGCTCCTTTCATTATGACTTATTTACGACTTGCGACTTATTTCGTTACAATTGACCTCGTTTCCTCGTATACTCAATATATACTCGTGTTTACACACTATTACAGCTCGTTTAGTTTCTGCTATATTGTAGCCACGCATGTCTTTGTCATGACTTTATCTGTTAACTCGAGATTCGAGTCCGAAAATGGCGCTTGGGATTTATTTCTGTATAACGGATGCTAATCAACTTGGCGAAATGGCCATATATGTATATTATATTTCTCTGTCTCTTCGTTTAGTGTCCTAAAGAGAAATCTCTCTTTCTCTCTCGCTTGACTTTCCAGCGACCATGCTGGTATGCGAATGATTTTTTTTTTATGTCGTGTCGCAACAAGAAACATGCAATATGGACTTAACGCGCTTTTCGAACGTCGTTCACGACTTCGAGCATCATCGACACATTCGACATTAGCCGATAGTCTTTTTAAAGAGAGCCCGAGGTGCGATTTCTCTTTTTCTTGGTCTCGCGATCGCGTTGCGTTTTTATTATACAATCGTCCGCGCGAACCAAACAGTTAATATTCCAGTGTTTCATTGCACGCTATTACGTAAAATGTAGAAGCATCGGTTGTATCCGGGTAATACATCCCGCATTTATTCTACATTCGCGCGTCAACCGCGGAAATTTCGTCCGCGTTTTTACGTTCGTCAACGGACGAACATGCTCATCAATTCTTTATCAGAGAACAAATAGCGGAGCAGCATGTCGCTATTGTAATTGATTTTGATCAATTGTTTAAGTAGATAGATAAAAACTTATAGTTATATTCTTTGATGAGTCAGAAATTGGTCGAGTTTGTCGATCAATTTAATGTATCAGAAAATTAGAGCAGGCGCGATTTAAATTAATTTTCTCAATGTAATGATAAAAAATTGTTTGTGTCTTTTGAATTCGAATTCCACATGGAGAGAATTTTATTTTAAAATTTACCTTGAAAATTATGTTAATCGTAGGACAACATATATGTATAATATTTCGACAAATTTTATGTGATTTTCATTATATCTTTTAGTTCACTATATTTTTTAATATATATTACAATAAATTTATTGCACAGTAAAATTTATTGTAGTGCACAATAAAGTTTGTCGAAATACTATATTGTCCCACGATTAACATGATTTTCAGGGTTTTAAATTTTAAAAGGAAATTCTCTCCGTGCAAAATTCGAAAGAACTGCAGCTAAACAAGTCCAATACACACCGCGAATTCATGTCAATCACGTTTTTAATATTATCACGTTAATATTATTATTTATATTACTGGTATTATAAAAATTATTATTGAAATTATTGATATTATAAAAATTTAAGTCATCGCTCGCTCATACTCTTCTGACACGAGAGAACCCGATTCTTTATCGCATGGATAGCGGCGTCCATGACAACAGTAATTCCCATGGAATTAGACAATGTTATACCTATTTCTGTCCACTCCGGTCATCTACATTCTACTTCGTCGGAGTGGAAAATTTTGTAGAGTTGTGTCATGTCGGTAATCAGCCGTCCAAAGTTCAAACTCTAACACCGGTCGCAATTGATGTTCTATTTTTTGTGCTCGATGCGTCTTATCGTACATCAACGCGCTAATTATAATTCGGGACTTTCAAATCAATCATCCCACATTGTATCGAGAGACATTATAAGATTGGACCTTGAATTGGACCAATTTAAAGTGGCAACGTTCCTCTCAAATAGGAGACCGGTCGGTCTCGTTTCTAACACGGCGAATATAAATAAAGAAGTTATCGCGTTGCGTGATTTAAGAGAACGTTTTCCCGAGAAGTGGTCCATAGGGGGAGAGGCTTTTTTCAGTCACGAGGATTCCCCTACCCTGGGATCGCGCGAGGGTCTTTCGCGTGACACGCGCTAAAATAACCTGCTCGGAAACTGCGAAACTCTACGAGGAAATTGTTAGCGTCATAGTGGGGTCATATGATAGTCATCGGTGGACCGTAACGAGGCTAGATCGGCGAAAACAACGTTCGGCACGTATATCGCGGCGTAGACACGATAGCGTTCGTGAGTCGTCAAAAAATATTTCTTTTTTTTTTTTTTTTTAAGAAAAAACAGGGTTATCACTACCGAATACGAAAGTACAAGTATAACGATAGCGGCGCGACGATCATTACTCATCCCTTTCACACGGGCTTCCCGTCACGTAGCCTTGTAAATCAGGGCAAGAACCTGATTTTTCGTTATCGCTACATTTCTCTGGCGCAAACAAGTTTTTCTCCGAACTTCTTGATTTACGAAATCTTTAGCCCACGCGCGTCGATCTTGCTGTCGCGCGTAAAAGGCACGCGAATAATTTCGAGCAGGGAATTTGAATAATTTCGCAGAAGGTATAAATTGATGGATGATCGTCTTCACTTGAAACTTGGATTTAACTTTTGCGAGCATTGAAATTTAATTACGAGATATTGGAGAAGAAGGAATTCGATCATTTATACTCCAGCGATTAAGTAATTTATCTTTTAGTTATTAAATCTTATATAATTTTCATTCCATTAATTAATCGCGAAGTATTTTTTTTTAAATCTGTAAGAAATACAATTGTATATTGTTGTACAATTATATCGTCAAGAAAAGATTTATCCCTTAGACAGCGAGAGGTACACGAAAGGATGATTTTGCAGCTGGATACAGATCTGGAAATAATTCTTGTTGGATGATTGCTTAGAATATCAAAACGTTTTATAGCAATGCTTATCATTTTTTATTTTCCAACAAAATTATTTTGATGGTCCAACAAGAATTATTTTCAGATCTGTATCCGGCAAAATTTTTAGACCTTCGAGCAAAATCGTTCTTTCCGCGTGTCTTTAATTGAATTTAATTACAGTTTACATATAAAATAGCAAAATAGCGATGTCTGGTCGCATTAATTGCCGGGAAGCTTAATGTTGGCAATAAGGACGTATAATCCGCGATGTAACGGGTATTTCGATTAATCTTGTCACAATGTAATGTATTTATACGAACAAAAAGCTACCATACGTCTCGCCGAGTGATCGATAGAGGTCGGCGAGAGGGTAGGCAGGGGAAGTAGAGATTAATATGTCAATTAGAGTGTCTGCAGTGACAGTTATTTCTCTGTATAAGCGATGATAAGCGAGAGGGGATGTTCTCTCCATACTCCAGTCACGTATGCACATAGTCTACAGGGTGTTCCACTTCGGCGGTGTCACCTGTCGAGCACAGATCCTCCCGGAGGGTCTATTTTTTCCCGACGAAAATGTCGAAGTAGATTTTCGAGCAATTAGCGGAGAAAAATAAGGGACTTTCTTGCAATATTGTCATCGTTTGACGTTGTCTTTAACTTTCTTAGCCTTTAATGTCCTTAACATTCTTAGTCGGGTCGTTTATTTCAACGAAATATTAATTTTCTTATAATAACGTTATACAAGTTTTTCATGTGAAATTATGTGTTTTTCAATAAGTTGCTGCAGACGATGATTTCCCTTGACATTTACGCGCTAACCCGCCTCCAAACTAGTCAAGGACTCCGCCGTTAAAAGATGAAACGGCAGAAGTGGAACGCTCTATATACATACAGCGACGATTACTGTCCACGCACGCATGCACGCACGCATGGCGGGCAGCAGCCTTCTGGAAAGTTTTTTTCCCAAATTGCTCGCACATCGCGTCTCGCCGTTGACAGACTTTTAAAACGTTATACGGACGGCTGAGCAGAACGAGGATTGGATCTAATCTCTCTATGAATTAAATATCTCGATGATTCTCGAGAACTGATAGATTCGCAGAAATTGATTCATTATATATTCAAGCGTCTAATATAAGAATTTAAAAACCTGATTTCACAAAGCAGACCTCTCACGATTCTCGTGTGTCGTGTCCTGATCAATCAAAGACATGTATTTAAAATTGAGAATTGCAAATTTTTTTTTCACGCGTGAGAAAGAAAACCTGAAATATGTCTATTGCTTTCTGCGCTTCAAGCTATACGCGATTCCTTAAACGTATAGTCGAAATTGTAGGTCGTGTCGTCGAATTCGTACGGAGGATGATCGCAGTTTGGAGAAACCTCGCGCGTCACTCGATCCGTTAGAAAAGCCACATCGTTTCCTGTGTAAACGTACTTTGTACGTAAATGTCCAGGTACCTTCCGCCCAAATCGGCTCAGGAGTTATTGTATGCATATCGTATGTCACACCCGGAAGTCATTAGTCATCGCTTATCCATTTAATTTAGGCGCGGTGAAAAGCGCGCTGCTTATTTATTTCGTCGGGCGTAACGCGAGAGATTTACATTAAAAGCTGCGAAACGTCCGCCGTTAACTAAATATGTGCACGCCACAATCGACGCGGCAAACGGTCGCGCGGAGTAATTATTTCCGCGTATTTCGTATTATCGACGGCACTTCCGGTTGCGCGGTTACACCGCGAGGATTACGCGGCGGCTCAAGGATGTGTGTATTGCGCGGATTGCGTCAGGATTGCGTGCCCGTCGTCCGCGCGATTGCGTTGCGTCCGCGCGACGTCTCTCCTCTCGTCTCGAGAGAGAAACCGCCGTGATAAACATTTGCGGGTGATCTGTGACGCGCATACAATGGCCCCTTTTGTTCTTCGTTCGAGGCGGCGCGCGACGCGTCTCTGGTCGAGGATCGCGTTATCTTCCGCGCGATAGGAGCGCGCGCGATTACGACCGGCCATCAAGCATTCAAATTACCGGAAAGTCATTAAACGTGCGGCCGGCGGAGAGTGAAGAGAATAGTCCATTTACCGCGCTTCCACTGAGAGATACGTAAAGCATAAAATAAGCTCTCTTGCAGCACCAGCATTCTTCGCGCCGAGAAGTGCCTCTTAACTTGAGATTTCGTGACATCTTTTGGATGTACGTCATATAAAAATGACAGCATTCCAAAAAGATAGCACGGTTTCTCCAGGCATCTAATTAAATTTGCCAATTTGTCGAAAACATGACGCCAAAGGAACGTTGAATAAAATATTCATTCCTAGCTGGATTTATTTCCATTAGACTTCACTTTAATCGCGAGATCTAGCAACATGTATACGTGCTGCTTGATGCAAAAATATGCTAATTGCGTTGTTTTTCACCGCGCTCCCTTCTATCGACGTCTCCACATGATGTACAGATTACTACCATGTATTCCACGAATTCCAAGCGGCCGTATTCCGATTATGCCGTTGATTTCTAGCGAATTTTTAGCGGTTGTTTATTCGTTTCCTTTGTATTCTTTGAATCGCAGAAATTCAGCAAAAATATTTTTATGCTAACTGAATCCGTTTGATGCTGTTTGCATGGCGAAAATTACGCCGAAAATCTGCAGAATGTGAGTTGCGAAACGTTGGGAGTTTGATGAGCCGCGGTAGATAAATCGAAATATCCGAAACGGTAAAAACGTGCTCGGCGAATTTGTTATGTCGCGCGCTCGGCGCGTCGATGATAGAGTATCGTTATCGACGTGTCAGATAACGATCATTCGAAACGCCCAGCAGAAATAGCATCGCATTGCTACCGGGCTTTAGTATCGCGCGAGCCGTTGAAGGTGGATCGAAAAGTCGTGCCGAAAGGAGCATGCGAGTAGACGAGGATGACCGACCCCGTTCAGGGTTGGGCTCTCGACGAACCGGTAAACTAGATCGTTGACATCTCCCTCCCCCGTCGACAATTCTAATTTCGGATTTAGCTCTAGTTAAGATAAAGAACAAGAGAGACTCCTACACCGAGAGATACAATAAAGAAGATAAGCCGATAAGAGAGATAATGAAAAAAGTCGTTGCGGCGATCCGCGGTTGATTCTGGGAGGAGGCGGGACGAAAATGGTCGAAAAGGCAAAAGGATGAGTAAGAAATAAAATGAGGAGAAGGTGAGAAAGTGTCAATGTGAATAAAACACGGAGGAGAGTAGAATTGGATTGGCGGGAAAAGGAGAACAAAGGATTGCGATAAGAGGGTAGCGAAATTTGAAGGAACTGAGGGAGTGAGATTCAGTTTTTTTTTTTTTTGCGAGGAATCATTGATGAACGTGTGACGGTACGCATCGAGCGTAAAAAAAAATCGGATTTTTGTGAAAAATAAAAAGAAGGACAGAGTGAATAAACTGAGAAAAAAAAGATTTAAAAAACGTCGACGTACAGACAGATTTTATTTGTGAAGAAAAATTAGGATATTAAGCAGGTTTTATTTTTTGTTTAGTGTATCTACCTTTTTCTGTGCTCGTGCTAGGAAATTCCCGATTATATACTGGTCACGTGGACCAGACATGACCAAGATAAAGCTCTTAGCTTTGACAAAAAAATGAGAAAGATGAACGTGAGAGATAAAGAAGAGGGATGAAATTTCGAGCGAGTGGAAAACGACGAAGAATGAAACGCGTTAACGTGTTGGAAATTTACTTTTACACAGATGAACGATAACTAATTAATAAATAGTATAAAATAATATTTTAAATTCTCTTATCGAAGAAATAGAAAAAAAGTTCAAAGTTTCTTCGAGAAGAAAAAAATTAGAGTATAAGTTTTAGAGAAAATTTTTTTGAAAATTTTTTAGCGAAGAGAAAAGACGGAGAAAGAAAAAAGTAGGAGTGAACAGGTGAAAGACAATTGACAGCGAAATTAGCATAATTGAAGCGTGAAATTTCCGGTGGCTACGACACACGTGGACGTGGATCGCGAATGGAATCGCTTCTCAACGGAGAAGAAAAGACAATAAACAAGGAAAAAGAAAAGAACGAAAAAAAAATTTTGTCGGTGAAAAATCTTCACGATTAAGACGTGGAATTTCTACTGATCGTGTTGGTCAAAATAAGTACAATTAGTTCTAATAAAAAGCTAAAGAAACGGCAAAGAAGATTAAAGGCAGGAAAAAAAGAGGTAGAAAACTTTGAAAGAATAACCGCGAGATTAAGAAGTGACGTGGATAAAAAAATTTCGAGAAAAAACAATGAACGCGCGTTTGCACGAGGTGGCAGCAGGAGAAGGGGGAGGAGGAGTTGAGACAGGGGAGGAGAGTGGAAACATCATTCTCGGCGACGGTTGTCAGCGGCGGGGTCGTTGCACCGACCTCCGCGACGACTGGATCGGCAAGGCGTCGGGTTACGCCGATGTCGGTGTACGTCACATGGCGAGAGGAAACGAGATCGATTTCCCGTCGCGCGAATTGCTGAGACCACCGCTGCCGCCGCCGCTACCGCCGTCGTCTTATGGTCCAGCGATCGCGTTTAGCAACGTGGACATCTTACCCGGCATTATTGCCGCACCCTCTTCCAGCATTACGTCACACGCTGGTGATAATACTAGATCACGAGCTTGCGATATCGGGACGACATCTTGCTCCACGACGAGATTTCCGTATGCGCCTGGTTGCAACGTGGCGTGCAGTAATGCACCAGCGACGACGTGCAATGTCGCTTCAGCGGGCGCCGATTGCAACGATCCGACGACGGTGGCAACGTGGTATCGCAACGACGACGGTCATTTGGCCGAGCCGCAGCAGCCGGGAACTCGCGCGGCGAACACGGCGGCCTCGAGGATCTGCCAGGTGGGCCCGATTGACGTCGAGGATCTCGCGATGTACTTCGATCCACCGGCGGACGGCTGCAAGCCACCCTCGGCGGGCAATCGCGCGATCCACTCGAGGAGGTCGCGATACGGACAGGCCGCGAGGATGGACCAGCCCCCTCGGGAGTACCGCCGCGATCTCGACTTCCGTGATCTACCCTCTTGCGATCTGGCGCCCAACGATCTACGGACTTGCGACATGGGGCCCAGCACCATGGGATATTGCGATCTGGGGTACGGCGATCCACGGCTCCGCGACTTGGGATACGACGGCCCGCGATTTTTCTCGGGCCCGAGACTTATTAGCGATCCGCGATTCGGCGGCGTGAGGCTGTGCGAGGAGCAGCAGCAGCAGCAGCAGCCCCACCACGAACCGGGCCGACACAATCTGGGCGATCCGGGACCGGGCAATTGGTACTGCAACGACTGCCCGGAACTGTTCAATTTCTGCAGCGAGGAACGGTGGCTGCAGTGCCCGGTGAGCGATCGCTGTCCCCTTTACGACACCTCGTACGCTTACGGCGCGCCCGTCTTGCCGCCGTGCATGTACGAGAGTGGTTACAATGATAACGATAACTGGCATTACGGCTACGTGGAGGATGAACAGCTCGAGGATTATTTGTAAGTCGGCAGTGATCGTCGTAATGTCCCTTTGTCTTCCTCGCTCTCATTCCCGCTGCCCTTCGTTCAGTACCGTCACAAATGATGAGTCACAGTTCTACTGAAATTTTCCAGTGAAAGATTTTCTCAGGGTAAATCTATTTTTCTCAAAATTAATCTGAATCTTTTAGCTTTAACTTATTGTTAATTGAATTTTATCCAACTCTTGCAATCTAATCCAATTAAAATCTTTACTCAATTTCAAGTAGTTTTCAAAATTCTTTTAACGAAAATTGAATTTTCCAAACTTTAAAATAAGTTTTCTCAAACATTTGTTTTCTCAAGCGCAAGTTAGGCCGCTATTGCAAAGAAACTTTATTCGTTCAATTAAAGTTTGTATGTCATTTACACGGTTTATGCAATATAAGAACATTCTATGTATTAATCTTACACGCCAGAAACAAGAAAGAAAATGAGTCGATTGTTTTCCCTCTCGTGGAAATTTTCCGCAACGTTTAATTACGTCGATCGTTCTCTATTGGATTAGCCGATCAGTTTGACTTTGACTGGCTTAAGTCCGTCAGCGGTAGGAGGGCGGTGAGGGAGAGAAAACGTGACGAGATCGTAGGATCGATTTCGAAAGAAGTATCGTTCGAAGGTCGGCCCGCCGCGGTGATAACGCCTCGCTTCGCGATAACGCCGACGTTTTCCCTCGATTGACGACCGAAAAAGATGCACCTTCCGTTCCACTAATGGCTGCATTCTGCGGCGACGAGAACGACGGTAACGGAATCGGGTCGGGCTGATACTTCAAGTAGTCTTCAGGCACTTTAAGTAACCGACAGAATTTCTCTTTCATCTTTTTTACTTTTTACATCTAAAATCTATGATTTTATTCATTTTAGATATCGCGAGGAATTTTGGTTAGAAAACTTTTATCTATATAACAAAATCTCTCCTACGTTGCTAACACGATTTCTGAACTGAAGACGAGTCGGCAATTCTACAAAATTTGGAATACGTTAGATCCAATCAGACAAGTTTAATTGCTACCAAAACTGCTATTCAAATGTTCTGTATGTCGAATGATACGTGTGCAGTTTGAGCTTGGTAATCAAGCGCAGCCTCGCTCCGAGATCGAAGCGAGATGCTCGCAGCGTTGAACAGCATTGCGTTACGATGCATGATTGGTGCGACCGATGTAGCGTAATATCGAGCCAAGTTGACCTTCCTTCAGGAATCGGGCAATGAGACCGTTTATCGTGCGTGATAGTATACCTGACGTGACACTTGTCGCTCACGAGGTACTTCAGAACGTCTGTTTGCGGAAAAAAGTCTAGTAGAAGATAGTCTACAGGAGAGCTCTCGTTCACGCGTGATTCATTCTACATGAGAAGCGTACAAAAGAAAAATATGTGTGTATGTATATGTATATATGTGTATTATCCAGAATCAATATTGATTTTTTATCGAGTTCTACGTGAAATGCACAAATATTTTGTCACTTTCTATCATATATTTTTTTTACATTTATCATTACGAAATTTTGAATATTTGCACTCTGGCAAAGAATCTTAAAAATATAGCTTACAGTATATCGATATATGTATTATATGTATATTCCAGAGCTTACATATAACTTGTCTAATAATACATATAATATTTTATATGATATACATATGTCTCAATGTTTAGAAAATATTCTTAAGAATCGCAGATGCGCAATCTCCGTAGAAATAGTAATGTCGAACGGACTAGCTTACTGTGATAGTCGATAGACGAAAGAAACTTTTTGTATTGTTGCAGGAGCAACGAGAAAAGGAAGGAGAGATCCCGCGATGCAGCGCGCTGCAGGCGTAGCCGGGAAACCGATATCTTTACCGAGCTCGCGGCCGCGCTTCCGGTCGCGCCGGAACAAACGGCGCTCTTGGATAAGGCCAGCGTAATGAGGTTGGCAATTGCCTACCTCAAAGTTCGGGCCGTCGTGGATTCCAGTGAGTATCTACGAAAATATCTGAATGTTCGTCTTCGTAGCAGCAAAGATGTTCCACTCTTCGGAGACATGATCTACTCAATTATAGAAGTGCAATATATACTCATTGCAAAATATATTTAGAACACAAATATGAGCATTCTAAATATATTTAAATGTAAAGACACTTAGACGTTGTATTTAGTAAGCTGTGTAAGTTGTTTTCATAATTTTAGGTGAGTTAGGGTCATTTTTAGCTCGATTTTTAGTTTGAAACATTAAATAGTTTTTTGGAGCGAATATTTTCAGAATTTAGATCTGGGTTTTAATGTTGCATTTTGCGATTTTAAATGATTAAATTCATTAAATTAATCGGCGCTGTTTACAATAGCTGTTTACAATAGCTGAAATTTAAAGATTCAAAAATAAAGAATATCATCGGGCAGCTAACATGTAGCCTTGGCTGAATTATAGCTCTTTTTCTCCTCATTATTTGTTGTGTTCATATATCGGCCTTGTTTTGAAATTTAATTTACAACATTAAACACACACGCACTGACTAAATTTTCGACTCTCTTAACATAAGTTCCAGTTACGCTGGCAAAATCCGAGTCGTCCGCGAAGATGGATGAACTATTTCCAAAAGCTCTCAATGGTTTTATGTTAGTACTCTCCAGTGACGGCAATATGGTCTACCTCTCAGAGAACGTCAGAGATTATCTCGGAGTGTCACAAGTATGATCAAATGAATTTCTATAAACATTACCAATTATGATAAAAATTAACTAAGTGGCGATATAAATAATTTACATTGATTTTAATAACTCTTATATTTTAAATAATTTTTATAAAGTAATTCTTTAATAGACGTAAAATCGATTTTTAATGAAGTCACATTTATAAAAAGTTTAAATGGAATTTATATGTATCAAATATATTCAATTATCTTGTTATTGTTATAAAAATGCAAAAGATAATTACGATGATTATTTCGCTGCATTTTTCGTCGAAATTCGGGGGGTTAAACTAAACAGCAAACTATGCTTTGCACATAGATGGATATGATGGGACAAAGTGTATACGAATACAGTCATCCCTGCGACCATGATGAATTGCGCGAGTGCCTCTCCTCGAAGTCGACGGAAAGCAATGAGAAACGTGCCTGCAACTTTTTCCTGCGGCTCAAATGTACCCTCACCAGCAAAGGCAGGAAGGTCAATCTGAAGAGTGCTTCTTACAAGGTATTTTAAATGTGAAAATCCCTTTATCCATTTTAATAATCGTAATATGCGTTGCGTGAAACGTTGAAACAAATATAAATCTGAACGAGAAGAAAGAAAGAAGTTCATAAATTTAATAGAAAATAGATGATTATATTCTTAAATAATTTATTATAATATTTTGACATTAATATAATTTATTACAATTATTTTTGCATTTTTTATTAATGTGAAATATACGCATAAAAATAAAATCAATGCTCATCGAGTAACAGAGTTATTGCGTAATATAAAGTATAGTACTCGCGATATTTTTCACTTTATGTTCTTCTGGCGAGGACTCTTGAAAATCTTTTTCAACCAAGTTATTCAGTAATATGCCCGTAATTGGAAATGTTCGCAGGTGATTCACTGCACCGGCAGATTGACAAACATTCGCGACTCAAACTCGAACTCTATGGAAGTTGATAATGAGGAGCGACGTAATAGCAAAGAGGATGAGGACGTGGAACAAGATACAGGCGCTTCTCTGGTGCTCGTGGGTAGTCCCATACCTCACCCCAGTAACATCGAGATACCCCTGGGACGCCACACGTTTTTGTCAAAACACAGTCTCAGCATGAAGTTCACCTACGCCGACGAGAAGTAAGTGATGGATGCTCTCATTTTTATGCTCGACACTCTGATGTGGATCCTTTTTGGGAATTCAGTTTATATACAAATCAATTAATTCAGCATAAAGTTTGCGTTCTCAAAAGTCCGAAAGTAATCGGCGTGCAGTTTACTATAGTTGAAATTAAAAAAAAATAATTAATTATATTATTGGACATCAATATCTAGTCTCGGCCGTAAGAAGCTTGCGTTTCCTCTATTTGTATGTTGTATTTACATTAGCGATCTGATTGAAATTATTGTTGTCAAATCAATTAAGTCCTGTTTACTGCACGTTATTTTAAATTAATACAGATATATCATACATTTGATTACTCATCGTCGTTGACTTGCATAATTAGCGCAATAATTGAATATTTTATCGTTCTTATCGTTCGATAAGTTGTGCTATACTTTATCGTATATATACATGAGATTCAAGTGTGATTTTCTGTGACGCGCCGTATTAAAAATATACGTAGTATTTTCAAAACAACCGAAATGCATTATTGAATATTGTTTTGCGTTATATCACTGGGAATATTGTCCGTTCTCGTTTCAGATTAGCCGAATACTTGGGCTGGAGCAGCGACGAGCTGATGGGCCGATCGGTCTTCGAGTTTTATCACGCACTCGACAATCTGACGCTGGACAAGAGTTTCAAATGCCGTAAGTACTCTTTACTTCTTTTTTTAATCAATTTTATATTTATCTAGTAACACTTGATAACCCGAATACTTAGTAAAACTTGCTTAGAAATCATTTGAATATTCTCGAATTTTAAAGATCACATCGTTTCTTTAGCTTACGAAAATTCGATTTTAATAAAATTTGTTAGGATCGCTTGTCATTAATTGCGAAAATTAATTAGTCCTAAATTCTCCGTGTAAATTTTCAATTTTTTGCCATATTACATTTTTCTGTGGTATTTATACAGTATCTTTAATCGGTTGACTTTGACATTTACCTGGAATGGATCCTTAAATTCCTATAAGAGAGTCATCGTCGTATCGTAAGAATTCTATTACGCGCGAGTTACACGTATATGTATAACCGAGGCATAAAACCAGATAGTTGTTAAGTGGCAATTCATGTAAGGGCTGCTATCGTCGCATTGCTATTTTGTCTGACGATCGTTTTCAAGATATTACGCTGTACGCGGGTAACACGGATGCGAAACGCGATAGCCATCAAAATGAACGAGGTATTAAAAGAAGCGTGCATTGGATTGGACGGCAACTGGTAGCGCGGGACGGGGGGGGGGAGCAGAAGGAGTGGGTCGATCTGGGTGAATGACACTGTCGGGAGGGAAAAAGGTTTCAAGGACGATCGTATCTCTTATCGGTAGCGCGGCTCTACCCGGTGGAGACCTTTTTTTTACGGCTTCCAGGGACCGCAGACTTTAACGCGCAGGCTAACGTTATCGGCTATCAGTTATGCAATTGCTGCGTCTCCCACCGGTATTTACGAGCGCACACGTGACGGGCTTTATCGTGCCGATTTCGGTAATTGACTCGTAAAAACCGCAGGTAGATAATGAAAAATGAGACGTAGTGACAAAGTACGAGGCCGTAAAAACGTCGAATAATATTTATCGTCCGACTGGCGTTTTACATTGAGATACAGCCCGGAGGAATTATCCTCTACGATATATTGAACGCATCGCGATTGGGTCGTATTAAAAATAGCAGCGTTGTAATAAATACATTTCATCGTAGGAATCTCTTTTTTTAATAGATATTGTGTCTGACATTTCATCGCTAAGATATGCAAACATTAAGTCACATTATGCATTGGAAAGTGACAAATCAGTCTTAAATAATAAGTATTTTGAAATTTAAAATTGACGAATTCACTATCTGGATAAATCTCACCTTAGATAGCGGAAATCTAAAAGACTTGTTGTTGATGTATATACATTTTTGATATTCGCAGTGAAAGACTACGCGCTTCTACGCACATTTTATTGCGTACTCGCGAAATATTTATCGGTCACTGATAGATGTACAATCATAAGGAACGATTTAGGTAGCTTCGCGTACTCGAGAGCAATCTGCAACGTCATCTCTTCTTTAACGCCAACCAGTCTTGGCTTTCCGGCCGAATCAGCTCCGCACTAATCCAACCCCTAGTCGCGTTTTACGAGAACGAGGAAGATACATTTCTGGAACCGAGATAATACTCTTCTCGCAGAGGCTAGCCTGGAGCGAGCCAGAAATGTACGACCGTAATTTTACGACGGGGCCTAACCCGAAATTGCAATAAAATATTTGATATCCCTGTTTCCGCGTTCATCAATCTCGCAAGATTGCGAGAAATGGTGTAACTTTGATAAAATTTTGATAATCTTCTTAGATTGCGTTTATATGTATGTGTTAATATAACCGCGCGACTATCTTATTTGTATTTTTCTATATTTATTAATAATCAATTTTACTTTTATTGATCGAGCTAGATATTTGTTGACTAAATTGTATCAATGAAAATATATTGCAAGTATTATTTCATCAGTAATAATATTCTAAAAATCTTTTATATCAAAATTCTGAATTTTGTCGAAGCAACAAACTATTCACACATATCGTTGGCATTAAGAATACTTTATATTTCTATCCCTTTCCGCACATCGCCAGTGCGCTAATTGATGCATTCAGAAGTCCCCCATGCCGATCGATGGGATGGAGTTTGCAATCCCGTGCCGCATCTTTCGTCAGCCGAAACGCGCGCGCGCTATAAAGCCGCGCGGATGCGCTCGCGTGTACTGAGTCCTGGAATGATCGCTCTCTCATCAACATCGTTGTACTGTTTCAGTGTTCAGCAAGGGCCAGTGCGAGACCGTGGCGTACAGATTCCTCGGTAAGCGGGGCGGCTATGCCTGGGTTGTCACTCAGGCCACCCTCATCCACTGCTCCAAGCAGCTGAAACCGATCTCCGTCGTCTGCGTCAACTACATCCTAAGGTAGGATCCGCTACTCTGTCCTTCCTGTTCGGTGCTGGTTTTCTTCTTCTTGGTGCTATTAAGGAGTACCTTCGACAAACTTCGCTTGTGTCTCGCATGAGCATGGCTGTATTAATTTTATCGCCCGGCGAAATTACACATCAGAAAAATTTAAGTCTCGAACTGGCTTAATTTCTGATATATTGCTTTATACGATTAATCTAGTGCGTTTTTGCGAGAGCTACGTGATAAAAAACCGTTTCGATTCTTATTTTTAACTTCTATGGCTCGATTGAAAATTCATTAGCTTTTTAATTAGTGTTAAATTCACTATAATGTACTTTAAACCATTTGTGTGATCTGAATTTAATTCTAGTCAAAATCTCGAAGTTTAGTGTGAATTTGAAGTGAATTTTAATTACTGTCAAATTACTGCGTTATTAGCTTCGTTTTTTTTTCTGTCGAAGAATAATTTAGGAATTACGGTGGACATAAGATCCGATAATTTCTTTGCATTTCTAGCATTTTGCGCCGACATTTCCTAAATTCATGACACCGCGTCATGCAAGATTGCGTCATACATAATAGTCATTCCGCAAAGCTTGTGGTTTTCGATCGGATGTCCACGTTCATTAATTCAGCAATGTTATCGCGTGAGAAATTAATTTCCATGCTACTTATCGCGTCCTTCATCGCTCGTTCTACATTAACTGACAATGAATTTCTTTGGGTAATTATCGAATTGCGCGAGAATTCGTAAAAGTATCGATTGAAATTACGATACATTCATACACCGATTTATAATAATATTTTAAAAGAAAATAAGTATCGATTAATTTTTTCTTTTTATGTATTTTTTTTATGGTAAACAATTTATCTTTTCTTTATCACAATGAATAATTTTTATAAGTAGGTTGTTCCTTTTTTTTATTAATGCGCGCGCGATGGTGAATGAAATAGTCCGCACGTTAATATCCAAATTCGTCGATTTTGCGTTTGCTCGATTAGCCGGAAATAAATTGTTTCCTACTACCAGTGCGGACACGCTACTTCCGGCCACTTCCGGCGAAGGCCGCGGCAGAATTGTGTAGTCACGCGAGGTAAGTGCTCTCTTGATTTCTTTCTCGGCGCAGATTCAACCCTCGATTGATTGCATAAAACACAAACGATGGTTCTTTTAATACAATTGTTATATAGAAATAATAGATAGATTCGTTCAATTACAGTCTTAATAATAATGATCAACAAATCGACTAATCATAGAAGAACACGTTAAGATTACGAGAATCAATTTCTCTCGGGCGATTTTGCTTTCTAAAAACTGCCTCAGATCTTTTATGAAATTCCAATTTTCTTTCATATTGAATGCTGTACCATTCAAGGGTTAATCTGGTCTGCCTCATAGCGCGAGAAGATAGCTGGGTCTCTTCTTTCGTGTCTTCTTTTCTTCCTTCTCTCAGCACATCGGCTCTCTTCTCGCACTTTAGCGCTTTTCGCATGTCTGTCGAAGGTACTCCGAAGTAATTCGCGGCTTCCATTTTGCGAGAGAAGCAATTTTTATTCCTCGGACGTTTTTGTTGCGAAAATCACAAGAGGCATTAAACCGCCAACGATACTGCATCTCTACCTCTGTCGAAAGCAGAACTCTTGTTATCGGGAAACAGATGAAACGAATCTCACCCCCCGTGGCGCGAACGTTATCCCCCTTTCGGTCTCCGTAATACGGCCCGGGATAGCCGATCCCTCCCGAAGAGAGGAAAGCGAGGAGAGTTTCTCGTGGTTTCTCGCAAAACAGTCCATTTTCCTTCCCCCGCCTGTCTCGGGGCGGCGGCCGTTCCCACCGGCGGCTGAGAGGCGGTTGGCAGATTCCGACATTATCCTTCCGATCCCCTTAGGTTCTTGCCATTTTCTCGAATGTTTTAGCCGTCCTATCCCTTCACCACCGTTTCCATCCCCTCTTCTCATTTCCCGACTTTTTTTGCACTCTCGATTTCGTCGGAGAACGCGCGCACCGCCAGTTCGGCTTCTATCATCGGAAGCGAATGAGTTCGCGGAGATTTTGTAGGGCTCAATCATGTACGTATCGTAACGTGTGTGGTGTGCTTCACAGGGCGAGTTGTTCCCGATTTTGTGACACGGCATAGTTATAATTTTTATCGCAAACGAGAATTACCTGTCTGATTAACATAAGTCTATCTTGTATGAATAATATTGAAAATTTATTTTTTTTTTAATTCTACGATGGTGTCATTTTTTGTTTGTAAAAATTTGAGGTCTTCCAGGTCGCTAAACGAGGTCGACACGCCCTGTGTAGCCCCTCGGAGCGTTTAATTTGGTGCCGTCGAGGAATTTTTCAGGCTTATGTTGTCACGTTATTTTACGTAATTGATCTGCGAATGTTTTTCTAAAAATTAACTCTACAAGAAGGCTGCAGAAACGTCTTGGCTATAATTATGTATGTAAAATCAAAATTCAATTAGGAAACCGTCAACGTCATTTAAACTCTTCAACCGTCTACTATACATTACGTCTCCCGTAAATGTAACTCGTTCTAAGTAAACATTTCAATAAGTGGATTAATTTCCTTTATTTAAACGTCGAATATTAGTTAAAGTTAATATCTCTCTTTCTCTCTTATCGTATAATTGTCTCCCGTCTGTATACATTCTTAGGGAAGGTTCGCAATGCCTCGTCCGTGCTGCTGTTATCGCTGCTAATTGATCTGCCGCACAGATCGATAATTAACGTCCATCCTCGAGCTCGAACGTGCGTTCCCCTTCAAGCTCGCGGAGCAGAGCGCCTCGCGTCGCGGGGCGGAAGAGGCGACGCTTGCGCGTCGCGGTGCACGACATCGTGGTCGCCGCTCCTCTCGTCGCGGTCGAGTCGGGCCTGGGTGCCGTCGATACCCGCGTGCGCGTTTGGCCGCGATCGCCCGTCGCGTACGTCGTCGACCGGCGGCAGTCGAACGAAAGCGAGAGCGACTGGCGAAAGTGGTGTGTCGCGCAAACTCAGTCGCGATCGCGGCGGTGGGTGTGAAGTTGAAAATCCGCGTGCCGTTGACGATTGTTGTCGCAAGTAAGTCGAGAGACACAAGTGTGTCAAACGATATTATCTTGAAAATCATACGCGGAAAGATCTATTTTGGAAGGTCTAAAAATTTTGTTGGAAAAATGTGGTGAGCATTGCTGTAAAATATTTTGATATTTTAGCATCCAGTTTGAACATCAAAGTTATTTTGATGGTCCAACAAAATTATTTCCAGATATGTATCTAACAAAATTTTTAGATCTTCCAGCAAAATTATTTTTTGCACGTAGAAGAGGAAATTATGGTAAATATGAGATACATGTATGTATGTGTAATTTTTCTCTTTCATTTTTTAATTGCAAAAGAAAAATGAAATAAGTTGTATTCGAACAAGCGCAGCATGACGTTAGAGTACAATTTGAAGAGTAATAGATTTTATTTTAACAGTATGCGAAGATAAAAGATTGAATTAAAATTTAAATTGACGGAAGAGGTAAGGCGACGAAGAGATCGTGCGCCGTTCTTTTCTCTAGTAGGGAATACATACACTCGCGTTGTTGCACATGCAGCCTACCGAAGAAACGTAATACTATTTTCTCGCGCGTGTCTGACCGGTTTTTCTGCAAGGATCCTCGTGAGGATCGCTTTTGAAAGCTACTACGCGCGAAACCGTGATTTCCCGCGACTCCCCGACGGGAGGCGTCACGTTGCATCGCGTTGCATAGCTCGCTCGAGCGTTACATGGGATTATACAATCGGTGTATCTATTTTTGTACCAATAGCTCGGAGATACCGCGTAAAAAAAGACCAATGAGATTCTGTCATTTGAAAGTGGAGGAGAGGGAAGACTGTTGTTTTCCGAGTCGTAGGATGACGTTGGTACTTGGTTGTTCTTGCTGAAATATTGACGTATATTACAAGAATAATTATAACGAGTATACGTGTCGTATAAAAGAGACACTTATCACACTGAATAATTTTGCGTTGTGTACGCATGCATGTATGTGTGATGCATTAGAAAAACAAAAAATTCTTATCTACTAAAAGAATTGAAGAAACGTGTTTTGTGGCATTTTTTTTGTACAATAGATATTGATGATACGCAGTAAGAAATTAAAACGCACAAGTGTGTACGTCGAGCATAGATAAAGGACATTACCTCGCTAAAAGTAGAAGCAGAGACATACTTTACGGTAACCTGTAAGATATACGTGAAGAGAAAGAGAGAGATTACTGTCATTAAAAAATTTTTTTAATTTGTCGCTTTGTCGTTTATTTTTACTGCAAGTTTGATTCCACCAGATATTTAATTTCTCTCTCTCTCTCTCTCTCTCTCTCTCTCTCTCTCTC